GTATGATTATTTGGCATTTTATTGATGTTGACAAAATCCGACCGTCCCACCGTCGAAACGGCGAACTTTTGGAAAAAAATTTCGTTTTTTGTCAATAACTCCCGAACGGATGGACATAGGGGGGCATGTATAGGACCATTTTGTAGGGAACGATGAGATCTACAATTTCCATGTAAAAATTTTTCGCTAGCATTAATAGTTTACGAGTTATTTACGAAAAACGAAAAAATAGTTTTTGCAAATAACTTGTAAATTATTGACGCTAGCGAGAAAGTTTTATATGGAAATTGTAGATCTCGTCGTCCTCTACAAGAAAGGTCATATGCAATTTTTCCGTATGTCCAACGGTTTGGGAGTTATTGACCAAAAACTAAAATTTGAAAGAAATTGAAGGGGTACCCCTTGGAAAAATCTCGGAAAAATCGAAAATGTTTTTTTGTTGTTTATTATTAGCATTGTTCTTCCGACGTCGGATTTATTTTTAAAAAATGCGTTTCTAAAATGCATAAACTTTTGGGATTGACTGTATAGCCAATACATTCTTAAATGATACGATTTTCACGTTGTAAGGGTTAATAAGAGTGATACTATATGTATGTCAATAAGCTTAAAATCATGCATAAATGGGTAAAATCAATTAATGAATTTTGTAGATATGTTCCTAAAGTAAAATATGAATACTTAAAACATGTCGTATACTTTCTATACTTGATTCCACATAAGATCATGAATATTTGAGTATGAGATCTGAAGTGTAACATGTAGCTGGTTCGATCGTGGCTCCAAGGTACTCGCGAATGAATATTGCGAAGGGCGGACAGTGTGGCGAGCAAGGTGCTTCTCTTCATGGTCGAGGCACCGAGAACAATGATAGAAGGTGGAGCGGTAGGAATCGGTACTGGGACAAGGTACAACGGAGAGAAAAAGATTAAAGGGAACGTCGGGAATGCCATCCCGATACCACCACCGCCAAGCGTGTGCAGCTCTTTGTCCTTTTCTGTTGTACTTGTCCCTCGACTTGTTTCCTTCTTTAGTTTCCGTCCCATTTGATTATTCAATTTTGCTACGTTCGTTTTATTATCCTTATCGTTTCCTCCTTCCATTGTGTTCTTATCTTTGGTCTCGTTCTTTATAAAAACTTCCACCTTGCAAAACGGTTTTCATTATAACTCTTCTGATTTCCGCTGACATCCCTACTTCCGGTTCTCCAGCCCGCGGGTTCCATCGAGCTTCCACGAACCTCTTCTATCATTTCCGATCATGACATTCCGTTCTCATAAGTCCATTGACTTGTAAAAAAGCAGCAAATGTACGACCACATTAAATTCAACGTCATTTAGATAGGATCCTACCCTAATAAATCTTCCCATTCCATCTTAAATGACCTATTGCTGTGTGTTTTGTTGTTATAGTAGTCTACTATCCAATAGTTCTGATATAACATTAATATAGATAAATCGGCCCATTGCTTCCATGAAGTGTGAGATACGATTATATATTATTCCGCCCCCGTCCTCCCTTCTAACTTATAGTTTCTCATTGTTCACGACGCTCTAATCAGGTGCAATAGGGAGTCAATGAAAATATCGCACAGATCATTACATACGATTTCAGAAATCCGCGACGGGCGTTCGCGTGTAAACGCGGTTTCCTTCCTCTTCGATGTGACTTCCATTCACCCCCTCTTCTGGGTAATTCTGGATCGTGGTCTCGTTCCTACACGCGTGCTGGGTCTCTCTATTCCTATCCCCGCCCCTGGTCGTAGCCGCGGCAGAGTCGAATCCGATGGAAGGAAGGCAGGCAGCCAGGCAGGCCCCGCTGCCCGACTGACCGTCCAAAGACGTTCTGTTCCGTTGTACCTTTACTCCGGTCTGCGCGTTCTTCAGGAACGTACGTGCCCGTTCTCCTACACGACCGCGCGTATTCTCGATCGCCTCGTCGAAGGCAGACGTCAACCGTGAAACACCGGTGCATACAACGTGCTTGCGATTTCATTCTCTCCAGTTGCCGAATAGTAATATCGCGATTTACAAAAAAGAAGAAATCGGAATTATTAATAACAACTTGTTACTTGCTTCACCATTTCCTGTTCGTCCAACGAGGATTCAGTTTTTTTTCACTAAAGGAACAAGATACTCAGTGATATGGCACAGATTAGCGTCAAACTCTCCAGATTCGATGGATCACCCTGGGGCTTTCGCCTCCAGGGTGGCAAGGATTTTGGCACACCACTCGTCGTACAAAAGGTGAGTCCCCTGACAGTGGTCTATACATATTTGTAACGCGACAGAGAATTCGCCGCGGGTTATTCAGGGTCAGAGCAGGTGACAGGTGTTGGTGACGATCGGACTTGTGACTTTTTGGTGAATGCACTTTTAAAATCTCCGGATCTATATAATTTTCTCGCGTAAGACTTGATACAAGTTTTATTATCATTACGTCAAGTGTATACATTGATAAGTACTCTTCACTTACATGAGATAACAATCGAATGAAAATCTAATCTTTATTGTATAATCGTAATTAAAACTTAACTGCATTACAACCATTTCTGTTAGTTAACTTTTAATTCCATACTAAAAGCAAGCAGATCACCGTGAAGAGTTAGTATCTGTGCTTTTAAAAGATTAAACAATAGAAAGATTACTCGGTCTCTAACGACTTATCAATAGGCTTATTTTTCGCTAAGCATAAAGCGGCGGGATTACGCAATGGACGAAAGCAAACCAAAGCCAAATTATTTCACGCGCATCGGTAGAAATTGCTGCCAACTACGTGTGAAACGCGCGGCTCGTCGTCGCCACCGCGAGTTTTGGCGACGAAGGCGCGCTGTAACACGAGAAGCTTTTGGCTGCCATCGACTTTCCTGCGAATTTTCAACTTTCTTCGTTTATTTCAACCCGACGGACACGCATACGTATGGTTGCGAAACGCGTCGGCCCGGATGTTACGTCGAACTTCACCTCGAACCCCTGGCCGCTTATGCGGTTTCACTGCCATGTTTATTATCGTATCAGCGAAGATCGTCCGGAGAATTCGCAATTTCAACCGAAGAACGTCAGATCCGCGAATAATCACGTCTGTTAGCCGAGTGGCTGTCAATGATGACTGGAACCGTGTTGGGGCGGCGCGGCTCGATATTCGCAGGTTGGAGGACGATTTCAGGGATCTTATCCGCGATCGACGTTTCGAACTTGGCCTTCTTAGCTTAGCGCTAACACGTGGTCCGTTTATTTTACGAGGCCGCAAATACAACGCCCGGCAGGTTCCCGGGTTTCACGGAAAGGAGAGAAATACGAGAGATGGATCTTAAAAATCCGACTTCCGAGGGATTACAAATTAATCGCGAGTAATTGCTTTAACGAACTTCTCGTACGACCGATTAACCGTGATTAATTCGTTGGAAAAGTGACGCATCAAGCTCATCGACGTCATAAGTTCGAAGACGTATATACGTATACCTCGCTCGCTGCTCCGTGACATCGACAATCGCCTGTATTTACCGATCCCGGTGGCCACTTAGAAGCTATTTTCGAATCGCCGCCGACGTTCGTCGAATAAACACGTCCACGGACTTCCTACTATGCTTTTTTACTTAACCGCGGTTTTTTTATAAGCAGTTTCTTCAGTTTTTAAAACGTTTCGAATATCGAGGGCACAAAATGTTTAGGAACGTAACTATTAGCATTCGTTGAAGAATTGAAATCGCAGACAGCGGGGAATTACTTAGCTGAAATAGTCAAGGGATGTTTTTAAAAACCGATGCATCGAACGAGTTTAAAAAGCGAGAAGAAAAACGGAGGAGAGAGGAGGAGAGAAGCGCGTCGCTGGTAATCCGAGGCAAATTATTTGGGCGTTCTATTTCTAGAAGGTGCCTTTGCGAAACGCGCAAGCCGGGTCGAGTCCCGCTCACGCGAAGACAACGACGAAGACGAGAGCCACGAGCACGACGACCGGTTGCCGTCGTCAACGGTTTCTCGGGCTTCCTGGGCCACGTTGATCACCGCGAAAATACATTTTCAGGAAACGATCTCTCGTCGATCGATAAAAATATCGTCCTCGACGTGTCACATATGTTCATTTAGATAAACAGAAAAATCAGAAGATAAATCGTATAGAGAGACGTGCTTCCTTCAACTCTTAACTGGATTACTGATATATAATATTACGTTAATTTTTTATGATAAATTAATGATAACAAAGAGATTTACGTTTTATGACTCCAGTAGTAAAATCGCTAACTATCAATATTAAAGAACGAATAAAGTAATGCAAGTTTAATTTCAAATTAAAGCTGATGTTACTAAACGTTAACTCCATTTATAGAATTAAAAATTTGTATACGCGTTCACTAAACTCGTGGAAGCTGAAACGCCATATTTTAGACTGTAGACATTAGACATACGTATACAGCCAATTAAACGTAAGGAGCGTTGGAGGAATGAAAAACAATTTCACGCGGCCCGATTAAATAACAACAAGATTTGGCAGAGAGGCAGAACTTTCGTTCTCGTAATCTGCCACGAACAGCTGGTCGTCCACGGTTCGACGACGCAGTCGGTGCAACGTGGGCGAACATTATGCGACATTTCGTATGCCTGGGGGCCGAGTATCGCATTATCGTATCGAGGAAGGAGTCGACGCGAATTCCTCGCGGGTGATAACGCGGTTTATACTTTCAATCGTCAAACATCCTTCCTTAGTGTCGTCTAAATTAATTTCCGTGTCTAATTGTTAGTCGTGATAACAAGTGTCCAAGGAAACTATAATGACTCCTTATTGTTCACTAGTAATCGATTGCTTAGATTAGATTGTAATGTGCAATCACCCGTTTCCATTTTGTTAAAATTAGAAGCATTAGCGAAGAATGCAGCCTTAATGAAGATAATCACGTATTAGTTGATGGTCAAAATGTTTTGATGGTAGAATAGATAGCTTAATTGCCCTTGTTAGACACACTCTTTCTTAATAATCTTATAAAAATTTTGTATAAAATAGACAATGAGTCTAAAAAAAATAACATTTTACAACTCGCTGTATGTGTGCACAATCTCTTAAAGAAACAAGTTTTCCAAATCCCGTTTTGATGCAGGGTGTGACAAGAATATTGCATAATCGGTAACAGGTAGCCTCTTGTAAAAATGCCACCGATATCTGAAGTAGGGACTTCTTTCCGATAAAGGTTAATACACGAAATATGTGGCAATAGCTGGTGTATTGCCAAGCGCGTGGGCAGCAGCCGATTTACAGGATCGGTTCGTTCGAAAAATGAAGTAACGTGCCGCGTGAAGCGAACGCGAATTATACGTGCACCGTTCCAGCTAAACATAGAAGCGAATTTTCGTAAATACGTTTGGCAGGAATCGCGGCCGAGGACAGAGTCCTTCTATTAAAAGAATCGATGTGTCGCCGTTGCTGAACGAGGAAGAACAAGGAATGAAAGAAAAAATGAAGTGGGAAATCGAGATCGTACGATATTTTCGTTATCGAAAATAAGCCGTGTCGAGTCACCGTTCGCGAATTCTGTTTATGTCTGACGACGCGGCCGTGGCTGGATTTCGCACGGAGAGCCGAAGAATACGCGTAATCGTTGCGAGTCCCGCGGCCCATTTGTTTACGACCGATGCGAATGTAAAAGCACCGGGTTCCAGAATTCGATTCCGGCCGCGATACCTCGTGCCGTCTCGGTTAACATTCTCACTTACATAGAAAGAGACGAGTTTCCAGTTTTCCACGTACACAACGTTTCATGGAATACGTTTGTAGATTAAATCCACAATCAGAAAATAGACCGACATTGTACTCGTCTTATAACATCCGTCCCTCATTTTCTTAAATTCATTTCCCCCTTGTATATCAAACAGTGCAGTAAAATACTTGAGATAATATTGGAAAATTGTTGAAAGAAATAGCGCACAAGATTTTTTGTCAGACATTTACATATGATTAATTCATTTAGTATTCATACAATTTAAGTAAAAAGCTCTTTTGGGACACACGCTTCTGAGTTATTTTATTAACTTGGAGCTCGTCCATAATGACGTTTACATTAGCATTGCGACTGCTACAAAACAGATTTTATAACATAAATTGTTTATTTGGGAAGATTCTTTAGTGTTAATGCTTCGAACATTTGTAAGTAGCGGTTCAATGACGAGAGGGTGGCCACCCAATGCTGGTTGGCACCCGACTCACTTCTTCCGTAGCTTGGCAGTCGTCAACTACCTGGCAAGACTTCGTCCCCAGTAATGTTTACCGACCTACTCGTTATCAGTCCAAATAAAACGTTCGATTATCTACATACGTTTCTGAACAGTCATTACACTTCTTTACCTCTATCGAGCACGGAAATACATTTCTTATCATGAAAAAGTGAATTGCTTTAAACTTGACGCTGTTTCCAAGAAAACGTTGTGATATACAAATGTCCACTTTTATTCTAAATGTAAAACATTAGGAATTAGTAGAAACACCTTGCAATGCCGGGTGACTGATCGAAGAGCTTGTAAAATTTTGCGAACGATCTTGAAGATGCTAACTTGACGTTGTTAATCGAGAAAGGATAGTAGGTGAGAGATTTGGCTCATTTCTCGGGGCGCGGATTTTATGAGATATAGAGAGCAGTTTGCACACGTTACGAAAACGCATTTTGGTCCATGGACGTTAAACGTCGATATGACAAACGGCGACATATTCATTTCGAATCATCTTTTTATACGAAAAAAAACTGATTTTTCGATCGCTTCGCGGCGTGTGTTACTTCGTTTTCGTTCAAATGCAAATGCCACCCAAGGACGCGAACGAGTAATCGTTAAGTTTGCGATAAAAATGCTTGCTATTACTCATCTGCCGATTCTTCCATCATAAACTTTGCCTTTAGTTCTCGAATATTTTTCTAGCCAATCACACACGTGTCCTCCCTAGTATGTAGAAACGAAATTATGTGTACATTAGCGAGGACATGGAACATTAAATATTGTTCGATTACATTTGAATTTTCAAGGACAAAATTAATTTTTTTAGATGGCGATCATTTTTAGGATATTTCAAGCAGTTGTAATTTGACATGTAGGATTCAGATTTTCGAGTTCGAAGGGTAGCTTGTTTGCGGAAGTTGAAGATTGAACAATCGAATCTTCTCTTTCCGGTGGTCGATCGTTGATTCGTCGTTACAAAGAGAATTGCTGCGGAGGAAGCTGAAAGGAAGCCCGGCCCGTGGATATTAATAGAGGCCGAGGCCCGGTAG